ATAGGAATTCTTAAAATCAACCTACAATCTAACGAGAATTCACGATCTACCACAAAATACTAACTTCATTAAATATTATTAGTATAAATACCAATAGAAATTAATGTTATAATCATATTTTTAGATGGATAAAAGTGTAAAAAATAAGAAAATATGCTTCAACTAGGGATTTATACAACTTTTTTTTTTCGTCCATTGACCGATTTTTAGAGGTTTCGCCCCACTGTGCGTCGGCCGGTGTTTGTTAACGGCTTGCAGGTCGGTTAAAGGTTGCACGGTCGGATTCACCTATTACGCGCGCGCGCAAGAAATGTAAATCTGACCGTGCAACCTCCACATACCTTAATCTAGCTATTTTTACATTTCATAAAAAGTTTGAATTACATTAAGTGAAATTATTGAATTATATTTAACTTACAAAAATATTGAATTATATTTAACATATAATCTTATCTTAAAAATATTTATGCTAATTTTAAATATTAAGTAAGTCAAAATATTAATATTGCTTCTTACCATTATGATGCCATAGAAGAGGATAGTTACCCAAAACCGGCCATGTTTTGGGTCCTGGAAAATTGGTTGGTCTTCTAATAAATATGTAGCCTAACGTGTAACATGAAATAACAGCGATTATGACATAAATTAGTATTTCCGTCACAGATGCAAACATCGTAGTATACAACAATTATACCGTGCAGCTTATACTTAATCTGAATGTTTTTTTCGACATAAGCTCGTAAGGCATGGCTTATATATATATGTGCCCCGCCCATGCCTTTGGCCTTACAACAATGTGCTCCCCACCCGATGAGCAGTTTGGGAGTGGAGCCTAATAAAAAACCAAGAACACGAAATAAATTTCTGCGCTGAATACTTTTTATCGTACCATCAACTCTACTTCATTAACTCGAATGGTTTTTATATTTTCCCAGATGTAGAGTTATGATTATTCCCCCCCTCCCCCCGCCTCAAGTATCTTCTCTACAAAAGTACTGATATCATCAAATGGCTCCAACTAAACTGAATATTTAGACAAACTAGGTTCTTTATAATTTTTTATATTAGAATGTTACATCCAAACAATATTAAGCATACAATTTTATCGGAAGAAATAAAGGAAATAATAATATTAATATTATAACATCAGTGATTTATATTGACTGTATCTGGCAATTTTTATAATACAGAAAATTTATTGCGAAAAGTATTACCTCAGCCAGGGTTTGAACCTGGACCTCCCTTCTCTTTAGGTGGGCGTCTCAACAAATTCGACCACCGAGGTATATGATAATATTAGTCGCAATAACAGTATAAAGTCGAAATAGACGCGTAAATAATATCTTTATTTTATTTTCGGCGTCGGACGGTAGAAGGTAAAAGAAGGTAGAATCGAATGCCAAACCCCCCCTCCCTCGCCTATCTCTGCCACACGCCCGGCTACAATTTTTATGTTCATGTCCTTGGTCCGGAGAAAGTTCACACCGTGTGAAGGATGGTGAAGGAATTAGGAAAGTGAAGGACTTTACGTGAATAAATTAGTCGACTAGTTGACATTTACCAGCTCTTAATGTCAAAACTCACATCTCGACGAAACGATGATCTATCTGCAGCCGTCAATAAATGCGAATACGCGTCACATTTTATATCCTTTATGTATTGCGTTGCGAGTGTTTTTTAACCTTTGATTTTTATATTTAAATTATTTTCTTCCCATACAGCAAACTACGTTTCTGAAATATAGTATTTCAAGGTTTCGGAAACATTTCATGTATCATCCCTGCCAGCACTAGACGTGACAGCGATTGGTTGGTCACAAAGGTGCAAAAAAACATGATGCGTCTTTTACACGTTGCCGCGACGTAACGCACAAAAGAATTTAATTAGCTGTCTGTCGGATTTTTGTAATTTTGTGGTTAGTACCTTATATAAAAATTAATTGAAATAACATGTAACTTTTTTTAATATAAAATTAAAAACTTTAAATTGTTACGTCGCAGAGACGTAACAAAAGCGACGAGGTGACCAATAAATTTACAACTCTTATATTAAAAAGCGGTAATATTTGACTGCGAAAGAGATAAAAAGGGAAAATAAAAAAGCTAAATGTAACATAAAAATATATATATTTTTACATCATTCTAATTTATTACCTCTTTTCTCAGTGTTCTATCTATATTATAAAACATAATCGTCCGATTTTGAGAAGTTGAGATTAGTTTTTACTGCCCAGATAACCAAATGTCTGCAAACTTGCTGGCAATTTGCTGTCAAATCAATCAATTTAATTGAATAAAAAACGGAACAAGGTGATTCCTCAATACGTGGACAAGTTGCGAGCAAGTTATGCTGACAAATGTATGATGGCAAATTTGCAACAAATACACAACAAATAATTGTGTAATTTTTGCGTCAAGAATATGCAATTTAATGTTCTCATATGCTTATTCTTTTGCTGACTTGTCTTGCTATATGCGAGTCATCAAATAGCTAGCAATCAGAGAACATAAAGAGCATTAAAATAATTGCAAAGTATTTGCCAGCAAGAAGATCGCTTTTAAGTATCAGAGCTCGGGATTTAGTGCACAGTTCATGTGAAAATGAAGAGCTACGCCTACGCATAATGCCTGGCGGCTAAGTCAACGATCGCACATGCGACGCTCCATCTTTGAAGCATTCCGATTGAAAAAATTTTCGTAATCGGAATGCTCCAAAGACAGAGCGTCGCATGTGCGATCGTTGACTTGGCTGCCATCTACCCCGCTGAAAACAACTAAAAATTAAAATGCTGGAAAAAGTCTAGAAAACCTGGAAAAGTCAAGGAAATATAGAACTTCATTTTGCTAGACACCACGTTAAAATTATATAAATCAATAAAATAAAATAAAAATAAATAAAATAAGTAAAAACATTAATATAATATGTATAACAGAGATAAATATAATCCAACTATATATAATATAAATATATCTTTAATATAAATATATAATATACTAAGTACGACAAGATATAAATACAATGAAATAAATTGGTTATGTGGCGGTCGCAATACGCGATCCGGCACTGCGCGACACGCGCGCGGGCGCGCGAGCGCCAGCTTCTGAGTAGTTCGCCGACCGCCGCTAGACCGCGCATGGTGGCGGCCAAAAACTCGGAAGCAAAATCCAGTCTCGTAGGGTATAAATAGAGAGAAGCCTGAGACTTCTGATGTCGACGATACGGACGGTGACGGCAGAGCCGTCACCGTCACCATGCATGTGGTCGTTGCTGTCTCGAAAAACGTTGTTATACGAAACCATAAATAGAATTGGAATCTGTTAACTACCTTTTGTATATTTGTCACTAAGAAGTTGCAAATATGCGACATCCAACGACGACCACCCATGGTCAAAATTTCACAGTGCTCCGATTCGGGATCAGTGATGAGATTGCAGGATTTCTGGCGCACGCGCAGTAGCGCCAGTAGCGCGAGCCTTTCTGCCATGCGCATAGCTATCACGTGACTACCATGAAAGACTCGCCACGCGCTCGAATTGGGCGGTAAGCCAGCCTAAGACAACGATTTTTAATAATTAATTACTCGTTAACTAATACGAAAATTGCAAAATGATACAGGACTTTTCCGTTCATCTCGATCCGTTTTACCTTCTCAAAAATTTTGTCGGATATGGAAAGACTCACCCTGTATACCTGCAACATATATGAGTAGGAAATTACTACTAACGTGTATATAACCTACTACATGTGTGTTATATTGCATGTTATTTTCGTTTTATCACGACAATATAACAATTATATACCCGTGTTTGCTAAGTGATTTCAATAACTGTCTCGTACTCCCCGGGCAAATTCTGTCTTTGTGACAATCGCAGAGCTGTCTTTTTATAAAGAACACTTCAGCTACCGCTCTTTTCCTTAGTTGTTTCTCTTTATGTAAAATCAGTTAGATTATGTAACATTTGTTAGATTATTGTCCGAAACGTGCCAATAAAGGAAGTTTTCCCGTTTGTGTCGGATCACTCGCCCGAATTAGTTAAATGTTTGCTGGCGGTTGAATTTTGCAATTTGATTTTAATTTGTATACAATGTATATATGTGTGTAACATGTGGAAACATGTATTACACTTCTCTCGTTTCTGTTCTCAAGATGGGGGTATCTCAATTGCATAAATGAGCGACAAATCGTACGAATACGTATACGTATCTATATTTTATCATCTTGTACAAAACAAACATTTACAACTAGTCTTATTGCTTCAAATATATATTTTTACAGCTTCCGATTATATATAAAATATACGAATCTATTTGTGACCTGATTCATATTGCACCATTTGTCTCACTTATCTACTAATATTTCTCGTTAGTCTCACTAGATTGTTCGGTACGGTGTGTACAAATTTGTGCAATTCTCGCGATTCTAAAGAAGAAATCTCGTTCACCGGTTCGGAAAGATATATCGAGGTGCGCACGAGACTTAATTGTAGAATCGCAATTGGCACGTATAATGTTAGATGCGTAGATCAGAGTTAAGTCACGTTCGGACGAAGTTGGAATCACGTAAGAAGATACTGCTCTTCTTAATCGAAGATACTTAGCTAGAAGATACTGTTAATCACATACATAAGGTACGTACAATAAAGAAACAGAAACAGAGCCGTTGACAGAATAAAAATCGTCGTCCCTCTGTGCGGAGATTTCTCTCGGTACAATTTACATTACGATATATCGGCGTAAGTCCGAGTGGACGTCTTTCATTTTTCCCCCGCGACGGAACATCGGATGATGAAGAAATCACGCGAGCATCATTAAAGGCTACGTCTAGCGAAACTGTTGCACTAATTTGAGGTAAGTGGAAAAGACGTAGAAAAGCTCAAGACACGAGGCTGATGCCAATAGTCAGTCGTCGGCCGACTGCGCCGAGTTTTGTTTCAGAATCTTGAGTATGTCGGCGCGATTCGCGGAGAAGGCGACGGACAGCCTCTCCTCGGCCTGCCGCAGCGGTGTCCTGTTGCGCAGATTGCGCGAGCCGGTGCACGCGCCGTATCTGATCAGCAGGCCGACGGACTTGATGTTGCCGGCCAGAGTCGCCAGGTGCAGAGGCGTGTCGCCGTCGCGATCCTTGACGTCCACGTCGCAGGTCGCGCAGTTGAGCAACAGCTTCGCCGCGTCGACGCGGTCGTTGAGGCATGCCAGGTGCAGCGGGGTGCGACCCTCCAGCTTGGTCACCACGTTGACGTTCGCGCCGGCGTCCAGCAGCAGCTGCACCATCTTGGTGCGACCAGTCGCGCTCGCCACGTGCAACGCCGTCTCGCCTAGGCCGTTGCAGGCGTTGATCGCGAGCGCCCGTTGCCTCCGCTTCCGCTCCAGCTTACCCTCGCCGATCGCCGAGCACCGCTCGCAGTCGCAGAGCGGATGGTGGCATAGGTTCGCGCGAGCGCCCGGCGGCCGCTCGCGATAAACCTCCAGGCCCAGGTAGTAGCACGCCAGGCATATATCGTCGGCGGTGATCGCGGCGAGCAGCTTGTCCATCAGTCCACGATGCTGCGCCGCGATGGCGTAGCCCTTCGAGTGCGACGGGCTCTTGCTCTCCAGCACGGGTCGGCGACGTTGCTGCTGAAAAGGCGCAGACTGGCGAGGCTGCGCAAGGACGCGCCGCTGAGCCAGGGCAGCGTCGCCGCAAATGTCGTCCGACGCCGCGTTACACCTGAGCAGTTCGGCGATGGCCTCGCTGTACGTCACCATCGACGCCGTCTGACCCTTCTTGTTGGCCGTCCGGCAACTCGCGCCGTACTCCAGGAGGATATCGACGATCGCGCAGTAGCCCCAGCGGGCCGCGAGGTGCAACGGCGTGTCGCCGTTGTCGTTGGCGACGTTGGCGTCTACCGGCGTCCTCATGTGCTCCAGCAGATACAGCAGCGCCTTGACGCAGCTCTCGTGGCCGCGATCCACCGCCAGGTGTAACGGCGTGTTCCCGCGCGAGTCCACCACCGCGGGATCCGCGTTCGCGTGCAGCAACAGCAGCAAGATGTTCTGATGGCCCTTGACGCAGGCGTGGTGGAGAGCGGTCATGCCGTCCGAGTCGACGGCGTTTATATCCGTGTCGCGGTCGAGGAGGAAGTCAACGATCACTATCTGATCGTGCAGTACGGCGGCGTGCAGCGGCGTCAGACCCTTGTCGTCCCTGGGACACGCGTTCAGCTCCCGCTGCTTCGTCCAGTTTCGCTCGCAGGACGCGCAGGTGCACAGGGGATGGCAGAGCGCGACGTCGTCGACCCGCTCGGGCACGTCGTGGGTGGAGATTCTTTTCACCTCGGACAGATTGCCGTTTCTGATGCACGCGAACAAGTCATCGGCGGACGAGCGTTTCGACTGGTCCGTGGACTGACCGCATCTCTCCTCGCCGTAGATCACACCGGACTTGATGTGCGCGATCGCGGCCTCCAGCGAAGTGATCAGAAAGCCGATCTCGCCCGCCTCGTAGGCGGCGCTGGTGGAGAGACGGAATTGCCTCATGAAGTACAACTGCGCCGTCCAGTTGGACAGGCCGGCGCTGACGACGAGGAGCACGAGCACCGGCAGCAGATCGTCCGACGTGACGGACGACGACGTACCGCGCGACACGTAACTGACGGTCCTGCGCAGGCACTCGATCTTGCCCAGCACAGTCACGAAGCAGTCCAGCCGCGACAGCTCCATCTTCCCGCCGTGGACGCGCGACTGCAGGTCCGCGCGCACCCGCAGGTCGCTCAACTGCAGCCCGTCCAAGTTCCGGACGATCTTGTTCAGACTCGCGTCCTCCGCGGCGGTGCGGGCGGACAGCGATTTCAGCAGCACGTCCCGCAGCGCATACAGAATGTACGTCTCCAGCGACACCCTCATGTTCCGCTGATACTGCCTGCTGCCCGGCGCCCGCTCCCGCAACGACGCCGCGTTCTCCAGCAGCGTCTCGAGGCAGTCCGCGTACAGCTCGCGCACCAGATCCCTCTGCACCTGCAACGGTTCGCGCTCGAGGTTCTTGTGGACGCACAGGAAGTCCTTGATCTTGGCCTCGAAGTCGTCGCGCAGCTGCCTGTCGGGCAGCTCCACCTGCAGAAAGTTGACGGCCTCCTGGAGATTCGTAACCACGTCCACGCAGCTGTCCGAGACGTACATGCCGGCCTCCAGCGGCCGCTCGATGCACCTGCGTGGCACAATAACCGCGTCAGACCGTACGTCCGGGACCGAGGCGTTCGCGCATCAGCTTACCATATACGATATTTACGCAAATCGTCGCTGTAGAAGATCTCCTCGAAGAGCAGGCGCGAGGAATACTCGTCCTCGTTGTCGCGCTTCACCCGCAGGACCCGGTCCTCGAGCAGGACCTCTCGGCCGCTCAGGCTACTGAAGCGGGCGACGGCGGGGTTGTCCCGCACCGGCACCAGGACGTGAGCGTTGACCTCGCTCTCCTGCAACCGCCGGCTGGCGAAGCTGTCGCTGCGCGGCACGCAGACGATCCAGCCTTCCTGGACGGCCCGCTGGAACGTGGCGCCATGCTCGTCCCGGAGGGCCCGCAGGAACCGATTCTCCGACAGATCCTCGTCGTATCCCGCGTTCATGATCGGCTACCGGGCACGGGGGGTCGCCGGCGTCCGCGGCGGGGCGCCTGGCATCGCGCACGACGCGAATTCAGGCAGCGACGGGCCCAGAGCCGGGCGAAAGCGAGGGCAGAAAGCGACCTGTCAACGCTTAAGTCTGTCATTAGTCGTAGACGTCGGACGAGGCAGCGGTAAACGTAAGTCGCGAAAGGCTATTATGTGCAACTTACGTTTTCCTCGGCCTCGCCTTACGTCTACGACCAAGCCTTAAACGTTCACGGATCGTCCTCTGCCATCAGCCTGAGTTGAAATTGAGTGAGGTTAAGGTTAAGGATTGGGGTTAGGTTAGGTTAGAGCGGGAAGCGCGAGGGGTGACAGCTCGATCTCGCGGCGAAGAGCGGCCTCTTCCGGTCCCGCGGAATCTCCGGCCGACGAGCGACCGTGCGAATTTTTTCATCGAAGCCTCGGGACGTCCTTATGTTTATTCTATTCTCTTCAAGTATATCCCGATTTTCGTCACCTAGACAGCCCTGCTGCATTGGTGAAACATTGGGCCAATGTTTGGTTGTATTGTAGCACGTTTGCTCAAAGCACTGTGCTACTAGAATTCTTCGGAGGTGAGCGCTTTGAAAGCATATCCAACGGAGGTTATGAGCTGAACAAGAACGCACTTTTTTTTGAATGAATTATGTACCTAATTATCTGTTTAAAAGAAACTAACGGAGTTTCTTTCTGATGCGAATTTGCGTAGGGTATGAAAAGAACTTTCTTTTTGCAGTCGAGAGTTCGGAGAATTGACGACACGAAGGCGAATTCTTGAACTTGCAACCCTGGATTTTATACCAACGTACGTCGTTTGACTTCGAGCTTTTGTGCCCGTTAATTTCTACCAATGTGGATTAAATTGCTTTAGTCTCGGTTTAACAATTGCTTTTATATTTTTCGAATTTTTGGGGCTGGAAGAGAAGAAGAAAAATCATTAAACTGAGATTAAAATTTCGTCCGCGTTGATAGAAAAAATCATTCGTGACACCGAGGGCACGCTCTCCCAAGGAGAAGAAAAAGTCAGGATGATGTCAATTTGATGCCATATTGACAAAATTTATGTCAAATTTTGGTCAATTTGATGCCATATTGACCAAATTTATGTCACATTTTGGTCAATTTGATGCCTTATTGACCAAATTTATGTCACATTTTGGTCAATTTGATGCCATATTGACAAAATTTATGTCAAATTTGGATCAATACGGCATCAAATTGACCAAAATGGCGATTGTTTGGTACATGTACACGCACCGGCATTAATGCTGTCCCTATCCTTGTGAGGTGCACGCACACAACTACAGGGACTCTAGTTGTGTGCGTGCACCTCACAAGGATAGGGACAGCATTTATGCCGGTGCGTGTACCAAAGTGCACCAGCCCAAGGAGAAGAAAAAGTCAGGATGATGTCAATTTGATGTCATATTGACCAAATTTATGTCACATTTTGGTCAATTTGATGCCATATTGACCAAAATATGACATAAATTTGGTCAATATGGCATCAAATTGACC